ACTTATTACAGCAAAATAAAAAAGAAAAATCTTGATAACTTTAAAATGTTAGTATTAATTTTAGGATGACAAATAACTACAAGATGAACTAATAATGTACAAATGCGTCATTCTTTTTTTTTTGTCTAAATTGTAAACATTTTCTTTATTACTTTTATTTGAGTAATAAACTTCTCATTAATTTTTTGCTAATTTATTTTTTTGTGAATCCCAAACTTTTTAATCATTCCCTTTTCCTTTTTTTTTTTTACAAATCAATGTTGACCATTGCAAAAATATCAAATTTAATTTCTATCTATTATTAATCTATGCAATCAGAAGTATCATACTCTCTCCTATTCTTATTTGACCTTTACTTTCCATTCGGATGATTTCAATTTCAAAATTTTATTTGGGCAAATACATCAGCTAACACTATATTGATTTCTATTCTTTTTTCGGATATTTCCTGGATAAAATTAATTCTCTAGAACAGAGCACAATATATTGGTCTAAAAAATTTCATAATACAACAATTTTTTTTATTTTTGAAATGATTGAATGATGATCTTTATTTCTATCTACTCTTATGAGACTTATTATTCATTCTAACAACGCTAAAGATTACTAACCATCTAAATATTTTATAGTTTTTACTGTGCGACTGCAACAGGAAACTATATATACGATAGAAGCCATTAATAACATTATTGGAAAAGAAACGATTGATGAATTTGAGAATAGAATTGCGAAGGTTTAACGTCAATCCTTATTATGCATATCAACCCTGCATGACTTTCTTTTCCCCATCTCTGACGGACGACGATATTTCATTTTTTAAAAATTTACAAATTTAGGTCGTCTCAAACCTTAAATTTCCACGTAAAGCAAGCACTGTTCTGATTGCTGAGGATTGCGTCATCAATGCCATTATACAGAAATTCATCCGTAACGGGAATAAATTAACCAGAAAACAGGTGAGAACCGACTTCACTATTACTGTATCAGAACAATTGCAAGATTGCAAAGTTGAAAACTCTGCTGGGAAGAAACCACGTTTTTTGTAAATAATCGATCGAAAATGTAATAGCAAACTGCTGCGCCCATTCTCCTTAGGGTTTCCAAGTCCTTTCCTTCATACTTTGCCCTGGCAGTGATGATTTTAAAAAATTGAAAATGAGACATAAGAAACTAAAAACCACATGGTTGCTGGAAAAGAGAATGGACAGGAACTTTTCTCTAGAAAACTTCTATTTAACTATCATTGCCCACTGAATTGTTACAGCACTTAACAATAACCAAACGAATTCCTCAACTTTCTTTGATGCATTTCGATATCGATAGTAATGGAAGATGGAAGCCAAGTTGTGCATCGCTACCTGGTCTGCAGGGTACCACACGTGCAATGTTCAATCAGCCTGATGTCAGTTTCTTGATCAGACCGACATGTGACTTTTGAAATAAAAAAATGATTCTTGACCTTTGAAAATTAAAAAAATTGAAACTTCAACCCCATATATCCCAGCTACAGATACCAAATCAAAATTTAACTTTTCAATCCAAATAAATTGGCTGCAATGTGAAGTAAATCTTCAAATTCTCAGAAATCCAGAACTGCACTCCAAATTAGCATTAGGGCTTCTTCTGGGATATGCTACGCCATTTCATATAAAAATCAAAGTTATGACTCATCGGCTTAAGATGATTGGTCAAGATATAATTGATAATTTCATCAATTTTAATAAAATAAAACATTCTCTGAAAGCAGTGAGACAATAGCACCTTTCACTTCAAATCGCAAATGGAATATAGCCGAGGTAAGCGTTCCGCAAATAACCCGATCATTTTTGACAACTAAAACACAACAGCGTTTTCTCTATTTTTAACAGTAATATAGATTTTGGATTCCTGCTAATATAGATTCTGGACTGTCTCATATAAGAATCAAAATTTCTTTTTGTCTGCTTTCTGACATAATAATTAATGAAGGGCTGCTACTCGATATTAACTAAACATTTATTCAGTACATCGAATCCTATCTTATACCAAAAATTTTCATGGACCATTAACGAGAAAATTATCCAACATCAAATTTAATTCACAGGTACTTCTGAATTTCATCGTAAATTGCTAATACTAGTGCGCCACCAGTACCTCGAAAAACATTTGACAGTGCGCCCTTGAACATTGCAGCGGGACCTTCCGTTCTAATTATTTTCATAGCACAGTCCAATGAATTCTGCAAAAATGATAAAAAAAGTTCATTGAGTGTATTGTTCCTGTATTCGAACTAGTGGATACAAAAAAACTCAGTGTTCAGTGTTTTCAAATATACAACCGGCATCATTAATAAAAATTAGCTCAAACTGCATCATTCATTATTGAATGTAGTTTACACTGCTCGTTGACTCTTCCAAACAGAATTTGCAAATCCGATTTTTTTTTTAAAACGAGAAAAATGAAATTCAAGAAATATTCTATTTTGTGTCAATAAATAGGAATGGAGATATTTTAAATCTTTCATAGTACCTCAAGGATATGATACTAAAGAAGTTAAAAGATCATAAGGAAACGAAAAGAACTGAGGCCACAACATGCTTTTTCAGATATTTATGATGGTATAAAAATATGGACATGTCAAAGCTTAAAAATACAACACACCTTGTATAGGATATCTTTACGTCCAGATTGCATCATCATTCGACGGCGTACAGTGTCCCAAGGATATGATAATATGCCAGAGCTTACAGTGACCACTTGTGCAATCATCCAAGCGAAGAAGAAGTTCAGTTTCTTTTCACTAGCTACCAATATCTTAACAGTATCAAACATACCAAAGTAAGCTGCACGGTATATAATAATTCCTTGTACTGATACCAGGAAACCCCTGCAATTCAACAAGGAAATAATATTGTCAGTAATTATTTCTAGCATTGTAATTGTGGCTTGTTTCCTAAAAAATTCCTTCTATCCTACCATTCCAATAGACATATCGTGAACAAAAAATGAAATGCAATAAATAAAAACCTGTCAAATTATTTTTTACAAAAAATGGAATGCAGTAAATAAAAACCTGTCAAATTATTTTTTAATCTTTCTCGCCAAGTACCTTTACCAGACATTGTACACTACCGTTTTACAACAGAGATCATAATGCACTGAAGGATAAAACGAATCCCCACTACCGCACCAACAAATTTATTACTTAATTATAAAAGATACTGAAGAAATTGACAATGGTTTAACCAATAGCTAAAGAAAAGCATTAAAAATCTAACCAAATGTTAAGCAAAACGAAAGAAGCAAATTTTTGCATCATGAACTTGAAACTTCCTTTGTAATGAAAACACACCTATACAATCCAACTATACCATCGGATTTCGCAACCTTCACAATACAATCTGTCAATCCTCTGAATTCTCGACTTTCACCTTTGCCGATGTCAGCAGCGAGTCGTGTTCGAGCAAAGTCCAAGGGGTATACAACACACATCGATGCGGCACCAGCAGCACCACCAGCTGCAAGATTACCCGCAAAGAATTTCCAGAACTGTTTTTCCTTGTCTAACCTAAAAATATAAATATATTCCTCTGTTAAATAATAAAGAACACAAATAATAACATTATATGAAAGGTGCGAGGTAAGGTACAATAGTTTTCATATGAAAACGAATTCAATTAAAAAAAGATGGTGATGCCTCGCTATATATTTATTATTACTGATCTTCATTCTCGTCATTGAAAAAAAAATTTACCCTCCCATGAACATCTTTTTGAATGTATCCTTGAAAGCGAAGTTAAGAGCCTGTGTAGGGAAATACCGAATTACATTAGCCAAGTTACCCCTCCACAGAGCAGTTAAGCCTTGTTCTCGAGGAACTCTAATCAGCACATCTAGTATGCCCTTGTAACGCTTCTCAACAGCAATTGTTTTTTGGGCGTCTTGTACCTAGAACAAATTATCAATACAGTAGCACATGGAGTAATAATTGAAACGCATTCAGATCAGACCGACAACTAACTTTCCGAGTCTAAATTAGAAGATACAGACGGAGTACAAAAAAAATACTCTAACTCGCACTTGCAGCAAAATTTTCACTCTCTCAATGGGTGCAACTGCAGTTTTTGATATTGCGGCAGCAGTGCCACCTGTAGCCAAGTCAACGAAAAACTTCTTCGGGTCAAAACTTCTAGTATCCTGCTTTTTGGATTTATCTACATGTTTGCCTGAAACGAAAATAATCAGTATCATATTACTTAATTTGTTAATAAAAACTGACTAAGGTATTGGTTTTCCAAATTCAATGAAAATATTAGGGAGAAGTTCATTTATGATTATCATAATCTGACATAGATTTTAAATATCTTAAAGATTCGAATGGAAACAGCTTTAAAAAAGTTTCAAAATACGCAAACGACTTTGTCGGAAGTCGCAAACAAACCACAACATTGCCAAGATTGGTCGACTAGGATTATAGATCTAGCATAGGAAGCATGACTTTTTGTGAGAAAACTGTTGTGCGAGTATGTCGCATCATCACCAAGTGATGTGTTGCATCGAATATCATAATTTCAAAAAGGACAAAACAACAATGAAGTAAGGTAAAACTCGTCGAACTAGCACAAATGCCATTATCACTGAGACTTTAGCAATAGTAAGTTCAAGTAAACTTATGAAACGTACATCATTAGTACAGTAGAGAAGCTCTAATAGAAGAACTCCACATCTGTCTAATAGAAAATAACCAAGATATCGCCTAGTACTTTATTCAAAGAAATCAGAGGCAATATGAAAAGAGCACATCCTGCAATCAGTAGATATATAAGCCAGCAGTGTGCACCATTGGAATTTTGCTTTTGTCGCAAAAATTCTCGTTAATTGTCATCTGCGCAAAATAATTCAATATGAAACCTATTATATGTATTCTCACAGACGCTTGAACCTCAACTGTGTTAAATATTATTAAATCTCAAAGAACTGGATTTTTCTCAAATATGTCGTTAGTGATGTTATACTCCCGGCATCAGTGATGAAGCATATTGCAATTGAAATTTAAGATCATGAAAATTGGGCTTCGGTGGTGTAGTATGGTCCTAAATTTCCAACCAAATCTAATTATTAAACACTTCCAACATTATAACCATATTCCTGCCACCTGCCCAATAAAGAAAAAGTGAAAAGTAATCGCACTATTAAGCGAAACAATAAATTCCGATTGCGTTATACATCTTACGAAGTCAAGGAGAGCTAAATATCATATTTGGTGAAAGATTGATAGAGTTGATGCTCAAAGAGAAAAAAGTTTAAATTAAGCAAGCATAAAAACGGGACAAATTACTCTCCTAAAGTTCAGGTTTATTAATTTAACAGATTACCAAAAACCTGCACCCACAACAACACAACCAAACAACCAACAATTTATTTACCTTAAGAATGAAAATCCTATGCGAATTTCATTTCCATAGATCCGACTTCGCATGCAGACTAACATTCATGATTTGTACTAATTTTTTAAGGAAAAGTATTGAGGTTTCAATTTCTAATAAACTAATAAACTTATTTTACTTGTACGAGAAAATTCAAAACTAGAAAAAATATTACCTTCCGCCATCTTTGCTTTGTAAAATACTTGAGACTCTTTGCAATCTATTTATTCTGAAATTAATGGAATTATCGGAGAACACAAATGATAGAAAACGTTTATTAACGACATGAACGCATTGATGACGTTACGTAATAAAGTTTCAGATATACTTGACGTTTAAATTAATACTTGGATAAGGAAAATAAAAGTGCGTGGAAGGAACTGCCTCGCCACGATTTGACCACTAACAAAAGTTTCAAAGTCTCAATGCAAGAAAATAACGGAACACAGTGGAAGCCACAATAAATTTTAAACTATTATTGATGCACCGAATATAATAAGACGACTGCGAATACTATAATGGATGCAAATGTTCACATAGCTTGAAATGGATGAATGATCCCCGAAATAAACGTGGAAGAAAAAATAATGGAAAATAACAGATTCTGAATTCACAGTTTTAAATATTATTGTATACTTCATTCAAATGAAAAACAGCCCAACTATAGTTTAGGGATCATTCATCACTGGACATGTTTCTTGCATGAGGAACTGCATCTGATACAGCTCAAAGTCCTTTTATTTAGTTAATTTAGATTTTAATGTACTATTGTATAAATATTTGATCTTGATCAGACTTCATGAAATCTGGAAGGCAAGAAATCTGCTGCTTAAAAAAGTACCAAAATTAAGAGTGTCTTAAGGATACTGAAATCAGGGAATATACTTCTACCAAAACTATGTTACAGACCAATGGTGGCACAGGTGAAACAAAGTGATTACTTAACATAAGCTATCTACCAGCAGGTTGATTCCTCATCAATATGTCCATTTCTCACAGCACAAGCATAAGCGTTAAAATTCTTTATAGCAAGTCGATGAAAAGATAATTCAGTTTAACTTTCACCTAATGCACTTACATTGGAAGTTTCTTAAAGGACTATTAACTCAGCCACTAAGTCTCTCTCACGTATAATTAATCTATCCATTAATATAATGTCTTTAGTTGGAAATCATAAAGAGAATATAGACATTTAGGTTTTGATCTGAAGGCTCGATTATGTAGATTGATCATTCAGTACAAGAATACAAGAAAGCTCATCCTTGTAACTTCAGCACCTTGGAAAGTTCACGGATCGAATGAAAAGTAAATTTTTGGATAAGACATGCAGGAAATTATCGGGGAACTACCGAATCCCGAATGGAATAATGTCGATATTCCCCTCCTCACATATAAGAGAACATCACGATGCAATGACGGAACAGTGAACTCTGCCGATGAGGGAAAGGGGAGAAAAGAAACGGACGGACGAAGTGCACAGGAAGAGACAGACGCATGAGTGCACGTTTAGAGAGTGGAGGGATATGACATTGCTGGCAGATAGTTGCACTTTTTTTAACCGTTCGTTCTTCAATGCACTGGATGTGCACTTCTCCGCAGAGCGATAAATTTATATGCATGTGGAGATGTTGGTGGCGTGCAATGAGATTGTTGCACAGTGCAGACAGGTAGTTGCTTTGTATGCAGTGCAGTATTCTGTGGTAGTGGTTAGCAGTGAAGTGCATCTTAACTTGGCGACAAACGAGAAGTGACGTGAATGCATGCATACAATAACCTTAATATGATACTAGTTGTAAGGAAGAGTTATGTTATAAATCTTACTTATCAGCATGAGAATTTGCTAAGAAAAAATCGTTGCTCTAACAGCTTTTTTTATAAAACAATACGTGAGCATATGTAAACTGTAGATGAACATACGTATAAAATAGAGGGATAAGAATCGCAATGCACTGTGTAAAATACAAAAGTTAGAATAAGTGTCTAAGAGCATATCCAACTGATGATCATTTGGTTGTGGTGTAAAGAGTTGCGATCTGATTCACAACGTATTCGTTAGAAAGACATCTTGAAAGATATACGTAGAAACTGATCGCAATTCATAGCACTCATTGAGGCCTAACTTTTAACGTAGTAATGACGACAATCATAGAGATCAAATAAATTATTTGACCGCACGGAAGTTCTGCGGAAAAGATACCTTATAAGAGTTACCTGACAGTATTGATATTCGAAATGAGTTCGTATCATCTGCACGCAGAGGCACTGGTGCTTTGTATTACTCTATCACTGCTTGAACAGTTTCAGATTCTAACTTCACATCTTTCGCCAATTTTAACTGACCCGGCCTGGGAGCCTGGTACTGACTTGAGCCTTAGAAAATGAGTCAAACTTGGAGACAAGCTAGCAAAATATTCCAATGTGCTGGTCAATGGACAGAATGAAAGATATGATATTCGGAGGTATGTATTGTTAGCTTCTAAGAACTCTCAGTTGCAACCTCACTTTCAATGACAGTTGCCTGTTTGTAAATAATTTTCAGTGCTCTCATTTATGGGTCGAAAAATATAACAGTATAGATAAAGTATGGATAAGAAGGATCAGTCAGTGTACCTTAAGTTTGATGTGGCCACAGCTGTTCGTCAGTTCTAGTATCGAACAATAGCAACTAAGTTTTTCAAACAGCGACTAATTAGTTAGTAAATAAAAAACCGATCTTTAGAAAAAACAGTCAAGTTCCTAGCAAAAAGTGGGACCTCCGGATAAACATAAAAACTTGAATGTATTATAAAGAATGAGGAAATGAATGAGCCTCCGACAAGATAGTCCACAGATAGGAAAGAGTAGTTGAATCAGTAATATCGCAAAGAAAAAGTGCTGGTGCAACGCATAACATTTCTGTGAAGCTAATTTCGTAAATATTGTTGGTAAGCAAAAAAACATGGCAAGGGTAAGAAAATCCATATGGCACTTCTAAAACATTGCAATGACGTAACTGATTTGACGGCCACTAGTTAATCACACCTTATACCTATCCTGGAAGAGCGATGCTGAGACCCAGCTAGATCGATGAATTGCAAGATGGTAGGGGATTCTTTAACAATAATCTAAAAGGGAAATACCAAATTTGAAGTCCCAATTTTTCCTAATCTAACAATTTTGCATATCATTTTCAGGAAGCTTCCTTTGTGTTTCAGACTTTGCCTAATTTAAATTATGTAATCTAACAGTTATTCAGCCAAAGGAGAAGAAAACAAAGAGGAAATAGTGAATAGGAACAAATAGAAATTCAGAAGCAAAAAGAAGCGATTACTGCCAAGAATATCTACCGCTCCCATTAACAGCTGAATATTTAAAGTTCGGATTTTTTGATTTTTGCTTTGTGTTTTCAGTCATAATAAAAGTGCATGCATTAGATAATTCCTTCTAGCAATAGCATCTCTTTTAATATAGATAACAGATATAAAAAAGCGAAAATATATCCTGTCGCGAGTAAACACGAAGTTTCGTGAGAAAGGAAAATAATTATAAGTGAATGGAATGTGTGGTGATACACTAATTTGCATGTATCAAGTTGGATCGAGACTAAGGTTAAAAATCATCCAAAGTCTTTTCTGTCTCATGGAGCGCTATCACTGCATAGAACTGTTTATATGCTCATCGTTTAGCCATGTATGATAAGAGCGCTAACTAATGTATGCTAATAAAAAGTGCTTTACTAGTGTTAGGCAACAAGGGCGCTATTTCTTGTAATTGGAAAGCCAATCTTTGAAGGATGTATGAACTGAACTCTGCACATAGCAGGAAAATTCTTTCTTTTATTCCTTTTATTATCCAGCTTGATGTTTTCGAAATTCATTTTGCGACATTTTTGGAATTAGCTTTAAGCGTTAAATTTGTGTTTTGTGATTCTTAATAATTATGATACGCTAATACTGTTCCATTTATTTAATAGTTTTATTATCCAAGTCTGGGATGAAAATAAACAAAAATTTATAAAAGGAATTTAGGCTTCAGTTATTATAAAACAGATATTTCGATTTACATCGAGAACACAGTATTGAATTGAATTGAAAAAACACAGTATTGAATTGAATTGGAAAAACACCCTCTGTTAATTAACAGTAAATATGAGCTAGTAAACTGACTTGCTACAAATAACAAGTGAGATAAATCTACATTAATGCAAAACTACCACTGATTCTTCTCTGCGCTTCCCGTGACCGTTTTAGTTACCACCCTCCATTATTCCAGTAATGACATTGGAGGAGAGGAATTGTACGGAACATATATTTGTTGTGAAGTTTCTCCATGTATGAGTATGGTTTGTGATGTAGGCACATTTACAATTACCAACATAATTTTACCACTTCATTTCAGAACATTTTGATAATAATTTCATTTCGAAATGAGCAATACTAAACAATGAAATTGAAAGAAATTAAAAGGAACAGAATCAGAACAAAGTGTTCAGCTGACGGAATTCACTGCCTGAATCCATATTACCACGCCTACCTCACTTCCCTGCAGCTAGTTTCACTTTCATCAGAACTGGCAAAAGTCAGTAGTGGATGATCGGTTTTTCATGTTTCACGAATCACTGTAGAGATGATCGAGGAAATGTATCGCCTTTTAGATGTATCGCCCTAGTCTCTTTCCTCTTAGATCATCAGCAGTTCAGATCATTCAACATCCTTATAGTTGCTGCTTCTTAGCTTACTTAATGATTCGTGTACATCGCCTCATCTTTTTTTGTCATTCTCACGTAAAATGTGGATCCCAGCTGAATGATTTGACTCAGTGAAATGAAATGACCCAATGAAATGACTTACATCTCATTACTTTCACCGGCCATCCCCTCCAATCAGGCGCAAACCCTCCAAGTGAAGAGGGGAATAAAATCCTCTCGCGAACCGTCTCGAAACCGCAAGCTTTAAAACGACTTGGTGAGTTTTCCAGAAATATCTCTGTGGTACGATGACTTGTTTGGATTACTACAATCATTATGAAAATGGGTGAAGTCAGTTAAGTTTTACCATGTTCTCAGTATTCTTGTCTGCGGAGTTATTGGTGGTCAGGATGAGAAGATCAGAAGAGACACATAGGTAAGGAAGGGAATGGGTATAAGTTGTCGTTCAAGAAGAAAAGCTCTAAACCAAGAGTGAACCTAGAGTCCTACACTTTCAGTGTGGGATGAAGTAGCGTCGTAAATTAAAAACTTTCAAATAATTATTTCGATTTCTGCTAAGTAATTTGCACTTTCCGAATAATTTACTATATGTGTTTCTCTACTTTATAGATGCTTTTCATGAATTTTTGTGTTTTTGACTTTATTTTGAATAGTGCCATTTCCGTTTTCTCTTTTAGTTAATGAGCAAAGTGGCTTCAATTATAATACGTTTGGAAATACAAACTGGTGCACCGTTCATTAAGTTCGAGTCTGCCGGTTCTATCGGTATTATTTCTTTTCTAAAGTACACATCATAACATCTTTATGGGAGGTGCTTGTCATAATTTCTGGATAGTCTTTTTGTCTAGTTTTTCCATGTCTTCTATTGTGACAAAATTTTAGAAGCGGAAAATAAGACACAGTCTGAAAAGAAATTAATGGCGGAAAGGAAGAAGCACAAGAAATTGGATGCGCGATCTAAAATTGAGGGAAACATCTTGCTGCCAGCTGCCGTAGATAAGGCGATGGAATCAGTTACGTTGTCTCTTAGAATTTGTTAAGTCTGACTGAAAATATTCTACTGCTGGAATGGGTAGCAAAACTTATTTCTGTGCGACATTGTGATGAGTGCACGAACAAATTGGAGATATATACTGTTGGCATTATTCAGGTTGAGCAGACATCAGTGCAAGCACAGTGCTTAGGCAATCGTAAATATAGTGAAGTAATTGTGCAGACTTTCTCTAAGGATCAAGCAGCATCGAATAGACATAAATCCCTCACTCCCGATAGTCAAGAGGAGCCTTCATCTGTGCAAACAATTGCTTCTGGTCCTTCTCTTTCTTCGAAAGTGACTGGTGAAGGATCGGGTTAGTGCTAAATGATTAATTCGTCTGAGCTTTATTAATTTATGATTTTACTCGTACTTTTGCCTACTCGATTCTGCTTAAAACATCGTGCTTCAACCCAATAAGTCGACCAAACCTCGACAGGAAAAGGTTTCACTGTCACGAATGATAGATGACGTCCGCAGTACTTATACGTCAGAGTCGAGACCATATTCTTTTCAAATATGGCATATCTTTTTCCAGATATATGCAATTTATCATTTTTCTCCGGAAATCCATTTGTCGAAAAAACATCGGGGATTCTTCATTTTTACAAAAAAAAGTACGTTCTTTCAATTTCGTCGAAATTCAAATTTTCAATTCTTCTCGTTGACTATCTGGTCGATTTATTCCTTGCAATTTTGCAAACATAAATCAGTTGTGTTATTAAATGAATAAAATAACAGCAATCATTCTCAGAGAAACGAGTTCAGCAGATGCTAGAGGTGATTGTTCAATATTATGCATGTTAGGAGTCCCATCATTGCTTTCGTGTCGCGAGCTGCTAAGATTTATTGCTCCAAGTTCACAATATATTACTGCAATGAAAGTGATACGTGATTCAACACCAAATCAGTATATGGTTATCATTAACTTCCGATCTCACGTAAGCACCAGATTTCTATAATTTTTACTTTAACATATGCAAATAAAAATTGAATCGAGCATTTTAACTAAATTTCCCTTTTAAGGTAATATTTATGATATTGGGTATAGGGTAAAGTAGGATAATAAAGATATTTCTACATTTTTCATCTATTTTAGGAAGCCGCTGTTCGTTTTTACGATGAGTACAATGGCATAACATATAATGCAATTGAACCGGAAGAGTGTTCGCTCGTTTTTGTTGAAAAGATTGAATCGGTATATTCTTGTACTTACAATTTTCTTTTTTCTTAGATACTTCTCTTTTATGCGCGATTGTTTTTTTCTTTTTTATTTTTTTTGCAATCGTCAGGTTTATATTTCTGCATAGAGTTCATTTCTTGAGATTTGTGGATTACTGCCGTAATATATGGCTTAGGGAGAGGGCGGAAGTGGAAGAAGGAGAGAAGAAAGGGTCGCTTACATTCCTAAATCTCGCATTTCTCAGGAGTTTAATTTTTAAGGTTCGTGAAGAAGCTGGTGGTAGTCTACCTGCGGAAAACATGACAGAACTGCCAACATGTGCAGTTTGTTTGGAGCGTATGGATGATGGTGTGCTGACTATTCTATGTAATCATACTTTTCATGCTGAATGTTTAGAGCAGTGGGCGGATACGACGTAAGATGTAGTTTATTTAAAAACTCTCAGAATTCATGCTTTCGGTTTTTCTGATTTTCTATCTATTCATTAATAATATTTTTTCAAGCTGGTCTGTTGTTCAGATGTCCAGTATGTCGGCATAGTCAAACACCTGAGTTGGTGGCAGATCAGAAATGCTCTGTTTGTGGGAAAACCACGGATCTGTGGATATGCCTAGTGTGCGGAAATATTGGTTGTGGTCGTTATGTAGAAGGTCATGCTTACAGGTTAGCATCTCATCCGGAAGGCTATTTTACTGATTAGTTGCCTTGGATTTACTTAGTCGTGTGTACATATTTTTCTTATGTAATTGTGATTATTTCACTAGAAGATATATCATTTGGCAGAAAATAACCACAAAAGAATCACTTGTCTTATTTGTATTGTCATAGTTTACACCTTCCTTTCATTGGTTTATCTGTGCACATTTTTAACGACTGAGCAATTTTTACAGTTTTAAATCTCGTGTGATATATGGATCCAGTAATAGAGACAAACATCATCTTTTGTTGCAGACATTTTGAAACAACTTCACACACATTCACTTTGGAAATTGGTGGTGAGCGTGTATGGGATTATGCAGGTGACAATTATGTGCATCGTTTGATACAAAGCTCACCTGATGGTAAAATGGTCGAATATAGAAGAAGCGGTATTAGTGATAGCGGTGTATGTTCATTCTAACTAAGCAGTTTCTTTTTAAGGAACATTTTGTTATAAAGGCCGAACTTCTTTATTTGAACCTTAAATTCGATAAAGATTGTACTTTTTAGGAGAATCCGAATGAGAAATTAGAGTCAATCCAGTTGGAATATACTTGCTTGCTTACAAGTCAACTGGAATATCAAAGGACATTTTACGAGAACAAAATGAATGAACAAGAACGACTATTTAGCACGTTAGAAAAACATAATCAGGCCCAGGTTTTGTACTATACAGAATGAAGTTTGCAAGGTTTGAGACAAAAATTCAGTTAGTGGCTTATAGCAATGGTTATCACCGCTTAATAATAGCTGAAGTAAAAGTGATCAAGCTCGTTTCCTGATCATTATGTTGAGTTTCATATATCATAATCACCTCTCAGACTGCTTTGTCAAAGTGATAAGTTAACCCTTTAATAAAAGTTTTAGGAAGGCTTTCTAAGTTTAGTTTGATTTGCAAAGTGGTTTATAGGTTGATTATCTTGAAAAGGAAGTCGAGGGAATACGACAAGAATGCAATGAATTGAAAAAAACTTTAGCTTCCTGTACACAGCAACGGCGCACTATTGAAAAGAAGCATCAAAATACTCAGAATAAATTGAACAAAGTAATCTTTCCGTCTCCACTTGGTAATATTTCACATTTATTAAAATAATTGTGTATGACCGACTCGTAATTGTTTTTTATCTTGTACAAAGTATTGTAAATTCCTTGCTTAAAACTGGGTTTTTTTAATTCTAAATAATTAAAATTATTTGAATAATTAGTAAACATTTTTTGCTGCTATTTGCTGATCTTTAATTTGTAGTTATGAAATTTATTTACAGGCATTGGCAGAATTGGCGGACGAACGTGCTTTAAACGAGTTATTACGATCCGATCAGGAAAAGTGGTCTGCGAGACTGGCGGAAATGGAAGCAAAAAATACCAATTTACATGAAAAATACGTTGCTGTAAGTATCATTTTTAATTATTAAATCGAAAGGTTTCAACATATTGTGCTTTTTTCAGACGGTGAATGATCTCAATGAACAAATTCGTGACTTGATGATGCACTTCGAAGCTGAAGCTAAAATACAGGATGCAGTTGAAATGAACAAAGTTACTGAGCAGGTTATTTTTTCATATTGAATTCTCTTGAATTGGCAAATCATAACTAAGTGAAACAACAACTGGGAAACAGAAATCAAACGTTGTCTGTGGTCTGTTCAACAACTAACAATGTTCATAGCTTATTAGTTTGCTACTGAGTTTACCAGATTGCTGAACATGTTGAATTTTTGTTTCAACTTTTCAGGAGATTAATGAAGGTAGCGTAGTTGTGGCGGATCCACCACAGCGCACTCCAGTGAGGAATCGCAGACGTAGGAAGAAGTAATTTCAACACAGCATTAAAAATATGATAGAAAAGCATGATCATTTTCTTCTATTTCTTTCAAATTAGCTGTGCCATTTTGTAGAGTCGTTTTTCAAACTTAAAAATCTTTCAATTTGTGCAGTATATTTTAGCGAAAAACTGATGCTTTCTTTCTGTTTTGTGACACCATTGATTATTCTACACTTTTCATGTAATATTTAGTGTCTGAACGTCATCTTTCCACCGTAAACGCCTGAGTTTCTTGTTGAACGCTTTTCATTTGTCAGATGTAAGACAAATCACAGGTTAAACTCACATGCACTTAAAATGTCATCTTTCAAGTGTTTCGTCTGATTTTTCGGCCATTTCATGTTTCCAGTGATTGAAGCACTTAAAAAATGGAGAGTAGCGGGCTTCCTACGAAGAACAGAAGATTAAGCGGCCCTAAGTATCATAGTTTTACAACTGGAGAAGCTCGTAGTATGTGTATTTTATCTTTATAAATTTGAAAAATCAGTTCTGAATTTCGAAATAATCCACTCCATCTGTAGTGACAACAAGCTGTTGGAAAAAGAGGATGTTTTTTGATGTAATATTTTTCACATTAAATGTAACAGTTTTAAAAGAAAGGTCTAAATACAAAAAGCAAGTTTATGTTGTTATTGATGAACTGATTCACCTTCCAAAAAAATATGCATTTTTTAAGAAAAAACAAATTGTGTCGTTGGAGCTTTATTCAATTTTTTTTAGGAATCGCCTCCAAAGTATTTATTGATCTATTCATGATCGTTGGGACAGACAAAAAACTTATCTGCGAGATATTTAAAGAATAGGATGGGGTCCGAAGTGATTCATTCTTCTAGATTTTGGACTTTCGTCATAGATCATTGTTCCTCTTAAACTATTTGATTTAAAAACTCTTTTCAGCTCTCTTGAAGATACCTTCACATTAATGATGATTTAAAAAGCAAACTGTGAATATCTTGTGAAGTTATTTCGGTGAATTTCTATGAGTTTTCAGTTTTAAACAAAATTTTATAAGCATAGCTTTTTGCTTTGACACAATGTTTAGTAAATCCACCAATTTTAATCCATAAGCAGTGTTTAGCATTTTTTTTTCTTTTTTGTTCATCAACCTTATCAATGATAAGAACAAAAGGACGGTTAAAGAACTCATACCAAATGACAATGGCATTTTAAACACTCCTTGTGCATGGACTTTGCATTTTGGACCTCGGAAAAATGGACTTTAATCATGAAACCTCAACAGTTATGAATCATGAAGGGCATAGAAACGAATTAACAATTGGCTGACTGGACGTCATACAGTACCTAGCATTAAAATCACCAGATTGCTGGTGTATAATCCTTTTCTGTCTAAATTCATTTTTTTTTGAGCAATTTTCGATCATTTCATGCCAATAACATGCAATATTTTCTACCGTAATATTTTCACTGAATTTCATTTTTACTCCCGACAATTATTTTATGAAAAAAAATCTAACAACTTATTGTGGATTTATCCCTGCACCATTCTATAATATTATATAATTATCGTTAGTGTTAGAATATCTTTCACAGATTTAAAACTGTTCATTAATAATTCTTCTCTTAATAAGCGAATGTTCATGATTTCATGAGTGATTTCATTCAGTTCATCCCGCAGTTCAGGTGTTGAACGCTCTAGCTATTAAATTTCCTCGCATTGTCCTTATTTGAATAAATTTTCCGATTCTGATAAATTTTGCAGACCAAACATCTCTGCAAAGATTATTTATAATTTTAAAGTTGTCTTTTCTGTTAATTGGGTCAATGTTCTCAATACTACTCACATCTAAAAATATGTGCATCATTTCTTCGCTGCTCTCACTCTAACTGTTGATACTGACTCCCTAGATAATTGATATGGCTGATGCTGATGCTGTTTACTGCTGAATCCAAACTTATCTCAAACTGGTTTCTTGAAATACTGTCACGATATTTCCCAATGGCTTTTTCTTTTCTAATAGCTCCCACAATTAAGTGGTAATTGAGTTTTATGAGCTCTCACACTGATTTTATAAAAGCCCAGTTCAAATAATGAAATCTGTTGATATATTTAACATTCAGTGCATCTGATATCTTCTATCGTTATCTTTCTGACATCATTCCCTTCTCTCCGAGGTTATCGCAATCGATTGTACTCTTATCTTCAGTTCATTTAATCACAGTTTGTTTTGTTGGCTGTGGACTTCCCTCTCCACCAATTTTTATGTTTCAGAACTGCGCAAGCGATATGAATCTATGCCAGATGGTAATTTCTGCATTACTTATCATTTGTGAGGTATCTATCATACAGCATTTGCATCCCTTTCTGTTTTCCTACTCTCAACAACTATTATCCTTCTACTTAGGCGGATGGCTTTCGTCTTCAGATATATAAAGAAAGGAAGGAAAACGTTATTCAAAGATGATTCGAATCATACTTTTGTTGAAATCGTCTTGCAAATATGATGAAATCTTGTTGAACCTAACTTAAATATCCTCTCCCAATCCAGCAGTTTCATTCAAGTTAGAAAGATCTCCCACATGTTTTCCAACTCGAATTACCAGTAGCTCAACCAGCGGTCCATTAAACAGAACGAATCATTTTGGATATTTATCCATGTGATGAAAAGAAATATTTAGGACGAAATGATGTGCCAGTCCGGCCTTTAATCCTTCATAGCCTTGATAGTGCTGGCAATATTGGTCTACTACCTTCAAAAGGTGGAGTGAGGGGTTTGATATAAAGTGTCATTATATTACTGCTGTTATTCTATCTCGCAAAGGAGAACAGGAAAAGTTACCTGGGAAACAAGTGCATTTTGGTGGGCAGAAGAGGTAAAAGTGGAGGTTGAGAATGAGCTGGATATGATTCTTTAATCATAGCTGGATGACTCATGCTGATTCATGGTTCTTCATGGGACTTTGTAAAATAAGCAAATCAGACGGCTGTTCGATTTGTTCATCCTGAAAAAGTCGTAAATCAAGCTCTGTTCAAGACACTGAAGTTGCTACCGGCTTCGCTGTTATTTGATAAAAATGAAACTAGTTTTTCAGAGAAGTACTAACTTTCGAAAAACTCTTATATCATTGCAAAATCTCAAGAGGCAGAGGATTTATATAAAGAAGTTAATGGTTTGTTTACTCTGTCAGAGAATCTATTGTTGCCGAGATAATAGCTCAATGTGGCTGCTTTCTTATCCTCGTGATAAATCGATTTGTTTGTGTTAAAGGTAAAAAGTACCATACCGATTGCAGAACTCTCCTCGGTATTATTTCTTCCAATGTTTCATCGCTTTCGCTTCATTGAATGTACATTTCAACAGTCATCACTTCCCATCACTTGAAACGTCACATGATAATTTTAATTCGAAAGATTTTTGTTAGATTGCTTTATATCATGTAGTTTTGCGATTAGATCTTTGTTTCAAAACTTTTAATTTTAAATCCATTTGTCACTAATAGTATCTACAAGCCTTTCGTTTCTATTTTAACTTTATATTCAACTTTCAATTATATATTTATTTTACTTTAATAGAGATAAATTCCGAGAATTAGTTCATTTGATGGACATTCACGGATAATTTATGAAGACCAGTTTACCGAAATGCGTTCATCAGATTTTTCACATCTGATAGGCATAGTGGATTCATTCATGATACATTTTTGACATTTTCGTCATTTTTTGGTTGAGAGAGTAACAGTGTCACTGTCATCAGAGCTCTACTTCTCTACATTATCCACATTATTTCACTATATTAAATAAGTGCCTTGGGAAAAAGAAAAGGTTTATGAAGATGTTTTTTGCCTGCGGACGATTACTATTACAAAGACAAAATTCATCATCTCCTCTTGCAGAAGAGCCCAACGCGATACAATCGCGATACAGTCCACCACCAGGTATATCATTTCATGTTACTCATACTTACAAAAAAGTGTCTTCTTTGTAAGTGAAGAGGACAGAGAACCAGTTTTCATCATTGATATCACGCAAGTATAGCTCCAACTGAAATTAAACTGTTGAAAGTTGTGTTGTAAGTGATGAATTTTTCGAAGCACATTTAAGATCTGATACTGAGCAATGCCCTTTCCCTTACTGGTTGTGTATTTCATCAATCTACGGCAGTAGATGATGATTACCTGCGGTTTTAAAATAACTTATGTGGCAAAATGTCCTCATTTAAGATTTAAAAACATCCAAATGACTTCATGATCTTTCAAAACGTTGTCTACCAGCTCACGCAGCAGTCATTTGCGGCGTTCTCAATCTTATCATTCTTCTACTTAACATAATTATTAGTAAGATTCTCAAACATTGAAATTTCGTCCTTGAATTGTAGTACAGGATGATAGCATCAATTTTATTAAAAGTGTTTTTCATTGAAGACAGAAATCAAATCTGGACTTTTGGATTTCTTCCAATCTTTGATAAAAGACGAAGAAATAGGAAAGTTAAAGAAGACTAATCTTTTATCATGAGCCTAACAAATAGAAGATAGAAGGCTAACTGTTTATTTAGCTCTCTCCTAAACAATTGTCTGATGTCTGTCATTCCCATTTGATTCTGGGCAGAAGAATAACAGCAAGAAGCCCATTTATGTTTTCATTCTTCAATTGAGGCTTTTCATTTTAAGACTGCCATTTCATTTAACTTTTACAACAGAACAATTCTGTTTTATTATGTGTTTCTTGCATTGCTTGTTTGTCACGCTAATCCAATTCGCCTTCAGAAAATTTGTCTTTCACAACGTATTCCCTAAGGAATCCAATTTTGTAGAATCGATTTGATTACATAATCCGACAACAGGTTTGATCTCAAGAACAATTATGAGAATTCTTTTTTGGTATGTTTTTCTTCTATACTGAATTTTAAGCTTTTAAATCATTTCAAGTAATGATTTCAAAATTCCTTTATTTCTTTCAATCCTATTAAATAACAAGAATTGCTTATCTTCATCTCACATACACAGCAATTTCTTTTGTCTCACATATGTGAGGGAGGTATCTCCGTAGAATTAGAAGATTTCCCAATACTTTAAACCCATGTATAGCACTGAATTTGCAATACTTTACCTAAGTTTAATTAGCCGAAATTCTGACAAAACAGGATGGGAACTATTCGAATCATTAAAAATATCACTATAAGCAATTTTTTTAACATTTTCAGCCATAACTGGAAATAACTGATTTAATTATATCACCGAAAAGTGCCCTGGAAATCCAAATTTTTGCACGACACAAAAACCCACTGTTTCAATCAATTTCTCTCACTATGAACGTTTATTAAATTTTGTTTTTTTGGGGTCGTCAAGAGTAAGGGCAAAAAAACAATTGCTTTAGTATTGGACTCACAAAAATTCAGTTCAAGTTCTGTCCAAGCTCTTTTAGTCATAATCATTTTCAACTCCATTTTCCCATTCTTTTAGAAATATAGAGCATAATACCAATAATGCTACCTGTCGTAAGTGTAACAAATAAAAAGTAATATAGGATTTTGCAACAAATAGAAGGACTAGATTCTTTTCACTTCATGTCAAATATACATCTACCAAATTATTATTTCATGCAGTTTATTATTCGTCACGATAACAGTGCTGGAGGCAGCCGTAGTGAAAAGGTACAACAAACGTTTCGCTGGATTCAACGTTGCCGGAATTGGTGGGACAGCCGGATGTGTAGTCGTAGTATGATTTTTGAAGATATTTGAAAGATTTTGCTTTGACTTTTCTAGTAACCAAGAAGAAAAAAGCAGTACAGGTGGTAGAACTGCAAGAATTGAAAAAAAAAAATGAAATAAATGGAAGCATTTGGTACGACTAGTTACCAGTAATCGAGAGCTATTGGAGTCCATCTAAAAGTTTACAGGATAATAAACTGTTTGCTAACGGTTTCTTTCTTCGAGAACTAACCGCCGAAGAACAAAGAGAGCTTGCACAATACGTCGAAGGATCAAATAAGTACAAAGAGGTGAGAAATATATCCTAAAAAATTTTAGATTATTAATGCCTGTAATATAAATAACATTTTCAGTATTAGTCAGTAATTCATCTAATTCATAAAAATATGCATAGCTTTCACATCAGGTGATTTCATCATTCCCTGTCGTTAAACCTGTTTGACACCGAGCAGTTTTTTTCCTTTAGCATGATAATGGATTAAATGATGCCTTATCTTCCAACCTTGTTTCTCCAGAAGAAATTTGGGATTAAAGGGATGTTCTAGAATTGCCAAAAACTCGGGTGATACTAAACAGTGAGGGAAGAATTGTATCATTCCCATTTTTTCCTTAACATAGTTAGCTATATTCAGCTGAAAATCTTTGAAATGATAATTCTGTTCGCTTTCATTTAAACCATTTTATCGTAGTATGGTAATAAAGAAAGAATTTATAAAAATGGAGCAATTTCAGAATGTAAATTTCAAGAATAAATAGATCCCATTTGTGTAGGAACTCAAGACATCATTGGAAGAGAGACGCAAAGGATGGCAGTTGGCGCGACATAGCGAAAAAGGTTCAAAAATTTTATCATCTCTGGCAGAAAAGAATCTCCCCAAACCACCCAAAAAACCATCTTTCTGCACTACTGTTGATACTACTCAGTACTACTTCGATGGCTGCATGGTTCAGGTATTTTCTCAATTATTATCTTACAGGTACTACTACCGAAAATTAAGACACTGGTTTAGACGTATTCAAACTAATATTTCAAAGGTAAAAATGTCGTCAAACAGAAAAGATTGAGAGATGCAGTGATTGGAAGTTAATAAACATGATAAAATGCTGTCTTACTACAGAATAATAAAATATATGTGGGACGAACGCATGTACGTGACTTGACGCCGGAAGAAGTAAAAGAGCTAAAGACGTTCGATGCCAAAATGACAGCCTATCAAAAATATTTGTCTTCCTCCATCCAAAAGGTAATAAATGATCCCATCGAAAGTTTGGATTAGAGAAATTTTTAAATCTGATCTCATGATTTATTTTGCTTAAATATAGCCACTTTATTTACGTGAGGGATTTTAAGATAAATACAGTGCGACACTTGAGTTACATATTGTTTTCCAGCAAGTGGACAGTCTTTTCGGTGATAAGACAAATCTATTGAGTTTATTCACTGAAACACATCTTGAGACATCCTCGCAAACATCGGAAGCTACAACTGTCTCGACGACAACGCAAGCACCACCTGAAGCACCAGAAACACCAAGTTTCTGTATCGCAATTTACTGAAACAGTTTGAAGCGGAGAATGAAGAATAAGCGACATCGCTAAAAATGATGTTTATTCGCTAATGTTTTCGTGTATATGTGTGTGTGTGTGTGTGTGTGCGTGTGTATTGCATATAATATTTCTGCATTATTTTAATCAAAGTAACCCTGTTTTCTATCCTTCAGGTTTATCCAGCTCGTTCCAGTAAAAAGATTAATTTTAAGCGCTAATTCGTATTAACAGCTATTTTTTGATTATTGATAGCAGTTTTAATTCCCACTACGTCTTAATTTGAATAGTTCCGTTTTTAAACTGTAATAAATATTATACACCCCTTTCATCATCGTTTACTGCAGACGCACCTCATTTCGGCTAACAACGACAACTGGAGTAGAAATTTAATTCTGCCATCTACTAACAACAGCAGCTGTTCAAGTAAAGGAATAGTTCTAATAACACATGCTTTCGGGAAAGCTCTTGTATTTTTTGTTGTTATGGATATAGGTTTATTCGAGTGGTAATATTGTACTCACACAATGTTATAAGTTAACATTAGTAAGAAAAAAAAATACACGATAAATTGGTAAGCTATGACAAAAATCAGTTGTACAATAAACAAGCAATATGATCAACTTTAACTAACAAATTCCTTGCTGTTGCCTTCGATAATATTTGATTGTCGCTTTGTCAAAGTCAAAGCCCGTATAATTGAATAAATATTCATAAATAAATTTCTTTAAATAAGATTTGTACATAGTAAACTGTAGGAAAGATCTCATGTAGATTCAATCAGAAGAGAGGGATACGATGAACTTCTATTGGTCAGGAGCCATACTGCGAAACTGTTCTGAATAAAAACTATTTCAACAGCTCATATTGCTTACCACACATAATTCGCCACCACTTCATTGTAAATGACACCTCCATTTTACACAGCAAACACCAAAAAGAATAACCGTCCTCCCAAATGGTAAGCTATATCAGGACCAATAAACGACCTTTCGACAAACAAATTTTACAGCACCACCCGACCTTCTCCCAAGAATCCACCTTTGCATGACGTATCAGGAACAACGAAACCCACTTAAACCCACATAGTAAAACGATGAGAACCAACCCACCTAACATTCCGGCCCGCCACGGCAGACCATCTGGACAAAATATGAATCATGCTTACCCTGAGATCTGCAACCCTATTTCTCAATGTTTAGATATAACTTTTTTGCAAGCGACATTGAGTGGTTCCTACACCGTAGCTTCACGACGTATTATCTTTTTCTCTTCTGGTGCGCTATTTCTGTGTCCCTTTCTGTTCTGTCAGTTACATATAAGTTTTTTAAACGAAATTAAAATGTGATAGCAGAAGTATTGATGAAGGAATCACTTATTTATATCTGCACATCATAGATGAATCACTTCTTCAGCACTTACTCTAATTATCTGAGAAACCTCTTTTAAAAAGGCGAACAAGGAATTATGAACAAATTCAAAAAAAGAAATTTTGGTTATACTTTTTCACTAATACACAAACGTTCCACCAATTTTCACCCCCTCTTTACTGCTTCATCGGTAAAGTTAAAAAGTATCAAGTATTGCTTTGCCATAACCAAAAGGGTCAAAGTTCATGATCCGGAATAGTCATATCAGTTTTTTCTCATCCATTAATGATGATATAAAGCTAGCTATTCGTCACATACATGGTCAATTCGAAACATAAAAAGCGCTTTTAACAATGGACACGGAATAGAATTAATCAGAAGTATAGAAAGTAACATTTATATTTTCGTATTTGACTTCCCTTATCTTTTCTCCATTCTTTACTTAAACTTTTGCTAATAGTCTATGTAGTTCGCGCCTTAAACTATAATATTTGTGATTAAGCGATAGTCGACAATAGGATCCTTTTCCTTTCATGTTGTTGAATACATACCACATAGATGATCGTTGGATTCAGTGATAAGAGAGTTTGTATTTATACTAAAGAAAACTGCACAATGATTGAAAAAAGTGTTGTCGCTGACATAAGTTGCTTTTAATAAAGAAAGGAAAAAGCAACTTAATTGATAACTTGTAGCTAATCCAACTTACGGCTGATAACAGAAATATAAAGCTATCTGCTTGCAGAAGAATGCATAAAATTGATAGCAGACGTAGACATCATAAAAAACGAAATTAGGAAAATGTAAGTTTACAGAAGAAGTTGGTTGAGTAGGTGTGCTGATAACGAATAATATATCCTCAGCAGTAACATGACCAACTAAGGAAATAATAAATAAACTAACTGAATTCTCAATACAAAATACATGTAATATTTAATATTCATCATTAGCGTTTCTCAGATGAAAATAATAAAATGAAAATAGAGAAGATATTACTGTTTGATAAAAATTCAAAATAATTTCCTTTAAAGTAACTACGAAACTGCCTAATCCAATGTGAACTACAAACATATTCCATTCAACTACACAATGGATAGCATGAAATACAAAAGATGATTGTAAGTATATATTGTGATATTTACTTATTTGTTTGCAAATATACTTATAATTTACTTTTATTCCAGTGGGAAATCAATGCTACAACGAAAAGGATAGGAAAATAGATGAGAACTTCAGAAAAATGATGGCAAATATCTGCTTTGGCTTGAGCTGTAAAATCTCGCATTTTCTTCATTCATTGTTGAAAATCATAGTAAAAACAACAAATGACAACAAATGACTCAAGTCAAGGCAGTAGGAGATGGAATTATATTTTGAGGAGTCGCATCCTTAATAAAACTTAATACCATATTGTTCTTATCATACATAGTAATGTTGTATTCATATGACAATATAATGAATGAAGGAAGTATAATTCATGTAATCTGCGCCCGAGTTCAAAAAATTACTTGATTAATTTGTACAGTTATTCGATTAATTGATCAATTGTTCATATCAATTCAGATGCAACTTGAAAAACTATGCAAATTTGATTACTATAGAATCTCGATTTTTATTTCAAAAAATGATAGTTTTTACTTTTTACTTTTTATCGTAGATCTGAGAATTATCTGAACAATTTCTTTACTAAAAGTTCAGAAACTTCCCAACCTTTTTGGTAGAAAAATTTCTGTATAGACTAAAATCAGTCAGCTAGAATCACTTTTGGTATTATAATTATTTCAAAAGTGCTTTCAGTTCGAGTTCACAATTAAAAATCTGCAGCGTATCAATTCCAAACTTTTTTATTTCCTCTTTTCAACCTTCCCAATTTCTACTTTTTCACATCAAATAGATCGAGAAAGTCCCCAAGACATTCCCAAATTTCATGTCATATCATTTTAAGGACCATCAAGCATTAGCAGCATGTAATTTAACTTTGCTGCCAATATTTCAAATCCACCTATCCTAAGCCTGTTTCAATGGTACAATCAAAAAAAAAGAAATAATGTTCCAACTTTTTGGGGACATCAAAATGTCCTTGTACCAAATTAACTAAACCAAAGATGCCTTTCTTGATTGCGCAGATTATAATTATGTAATGACCATTTAATGCTCAATTGACTCTATTGTTTCTACCTTAGTGCGGTGATCTTTTCACTATACTCAAAATGATTCCATAATGCCGCTCTACATGTCCTCAATTCTTACCTGCACATTCCATTGCGCGATTTGCACTGTGGGAGATGATCCTAGAACAATGTTTGCGACACCGCGGCATCATAACATTCAAAACATCCGAAATGCAACAGTCATTCCTGTTGTACAATCAAGCAATTTGACCGTTCTTAATTGGATTTTTATTTTATTTTTTGCTAATTATCCAGAATAAAGAATTCATCCTAAACAATCAGCAAAAATCTATCTTGAGCATTTTCATTTTTGCTGAATTTTAACTATTTCTCCTTTTGATTGTTATTCATTAATCTCACCTTTGATCAGTTGTTAACATTTGAAACATCGATGTACAGGTATTTTTTGTGTCATATGGAAATGAAAATGACACGAAAATATTTTAATCTTTCATCGACTTTTCTATATTTAAAAGAAGCCTACGATCTTTTAAACCAGTTAGTCGAATTTTCACCCTTGCCTCCGTTCCACCACGGCAAGGCTTCAAAGCTTGCTGTTTTGGAAATTAATCCCGCTCAGAAAAATTTCTAAATCGTATCTCGTAAGAGAATTGTGCAAACAATTTTATATTTTTTCATTTCATTAATTTATCCAATCAACAGTTGACTGAGAGCCGAATGATGGACCGATAATTGCAAGACTTCCTATTTTAGAAGATATATTCCGAATACATTAGGTCAGTGCTACAAAAAATATATTTTCCCTTTTCATAGTTTTGATGGATGATTGGAATATAATAAATGAGTTTATAACAAATGGATCAATGAACCGAGGGACCACTTTTTTGAACCACGATCAGATTTTTTTCCATATCTCTATGACATAAAAATAGGCCAAGATAAAACATGTCGAAACAATTTTTTCAATGGTTATTGAAAAACCTTAGTAGATATTTTTCGATATTGCATGAATTCCATTTCCTCATATGAGAATACATTTATTCTCATAGTGTTTTCATCTTCGGATACTGAAATAATTCTAAACATCCCAAAGTTCACAATTAAAAGAATTCGGTCATAAAGACAAATTAAATTGTTTTTTTTTTTGATAACGATTTAATTCTGAGCAAAACCAATTTCAATTAACATATTTCATATACCTTGCATCACCTTTTCTCTCTCTCCGCATCTTTGGCATCGCTTCCTCATTTCCTCATCACTCTGAATATAAGATTTATGCAAATTTATAGCAAGTGGATAATCACCAAGCACCTTAATAATCTGATTGCTTTTTTAGCATAGGCGCTTATTTCAGAATAAAGGAAAGCCGCATAGAGACCTAATTCCTGAATATTTGGTTCAATGGTTCAAAGAGCTAGAAGCAATTAATATGTTAATTATTATATGCTTCCTCGCATAGATTTCAATCACAAAAACCGATAAAAGAGGTAGAAGGAATTATTAATAGTCATGAAATTAAGAAGCTTATTTTTACTCTTCTTTTTTATTTGATGAGAAGAGAACTGATTAATATACACTTCATCTAAAAAGTACATCCTCATGTGACCATCCAGGATTAAATCATACTGTAACTTCATTATTATTAGTTTTCATATCGAAGTTAACATCACACATAATATTTCTTGTTCAGGTAAGTCTTTCAATGAATTTCTAAGAAAACATACTATTCGATTTCTAGAAAATTCATGTGAAATAATTAGAGTGTTTTGAAATTAATAAATTCTTCCATATTTTAAAGTTGACAACTGCAAGTGAATAAAATACCGAATGCCATTTTAGCTAAAATGTCGTCGAAAAAGAAAACAACAAAAGATTGGAAGCAAAAATCAAGCAAAAAGAATACAAATACAAGAAATTGAAAATTACAATCGCTGGGAACTGTAATTAAAATTAAATTTTATGATTTGGAGAGGAGAAACAACTGGTCATTTCATTTGTTTTTAAACTATTTATTGAATGCTTTTAATGTTATTAACGTCACTGTAATAATTATTTGGCAAACAGGAGGGAGACTATTCAGCTTATTGAGATAAACAAATAAGCTTCCATTGTCCAATTTCTTTTTTCTATGCTTTCTTTTTTTCCTATAGGGAATATAGAACCTCAGTTTCTGGAATTATCGGCGCTCAGTGCACTTGATTTAGCCATCTAATTATGGTAGCAAACAAAGAACAGCTCGACCTCGTTGACCTTTTATAGATTTTCCCGCCTAATAGCGTGTGTATTGGACAGGTGGTTCCAGTCACTTACTGTTTTGACGACCTCACATAAAAAACTATTTAAAAGAAAAAAAGCCACTTTTGAATTATTGTTTGCAACCTAATAATTAGACTTATTATTCAATATTTATTATTTACAATCTTCTTATCAAGCAATGAAGAATTATGAAGTATGGTGTACTTCTCTTTCCTCAAAAGATAGGTTTTATCTATGCAAGAAAAAGTCAAAGTTTATAGAAGAAATGTATGATAATTAATAGTAAATTTTGATCAAAATTATCTTTCAATTTATTCAAGAGACAACTGCTCCTGCTATGCTCCACCATATTCATTCATGCGACAAACTGACATTTGGTTCAATATTTCTGGAATGAGTAGGCAACATTTTGGCGCTCATTTACTCAAAATTTATGACTTGTTAACGAGGTGGAACACATTCATTAACGATTCCATGCTGATTATATATTGATCGATTGACATTGTCAATGAACTTGAGCAGTTTTCATCGGTTAAATAAATTTGCATATCATAAAATATTGTAATTTGTTGCAATAAAAGCAAAGAAAACAAAACGTAAGAAAATTTTACTGAAGTTTGGTGCTAATCTTCTATTAAGTAAATGCAACGAAAATTTTAATAAAAAGTGTTCCAGCACTTTGAGTTTCTTGCAAATAATTGTATATCGGAAAAGTTTGAATCCAACAATGCAATAAGTTAATCATAAGATGATACTTTGAGCATTTACCCTTATCACAAAAATATTATTTACTTGCTAAAAGAATATATTATTTTAGTGTTTGTATATTCAAAGGTTATAATATTTCTTAGTTAGCAGTCTAGAATTCATTTCGGATTCATTTCCCATGTCGACAGCATATCGATCCTACAGATAATTCGTTGATGATTGAGATTCTACGTTTATCTCAGATTCAATTGCCGCCATGTAGTTATCTTCGGATTTACTGTGTAACATGATCCGGAAGGCATGAACAAGCGATATCGTATTTATTTCCATTATATGCCTGTAATTATATGCTTATTGTTGAGGACATCTCCGTTCCTACAACTGCCATGAGGAAGTTTATTTTAATTATCAATCGATTTTTTTGCGACCAACTTTTTCACTTAACTTAAAATACTTAAAATAAAAAAATTTCACTTCAAATAGCTGAAGCACAAAGTAAGTTAAATTTTTATTGTGATTTTTTTTTCAGTTATAACTCTTATACTGCTGCTTTATTATATCTTTGACTACAAATCGTAATTACAGGAAATACTATTCTCCAGTAATTGTTCTGTCAGTCTCTACTATCTGCTATAACCACTTACGCCTTGAACTACCACTAATTTAAAATTTTAATTCCAACTTTCCTCAGATCAATAGCACATAACTTATACAATTTATTGTAAATAATAATTTTTGACGGAGAATTGTTTATTTCTTTATTAATCTATCTAAGAAAAACCCATCATGGATGCAAAAGCGTTCGTCACGCATGATGAGAATCCAAATGGCTTCGACAACCTGTTGCGGCACTCTTTGACTTTAACAAACCTTTTTTCGGCACGTGACCAAAAAAGCATTAGTGTAAAAGAAATAATCAATTAGAACTCTTTGAAATGAAATTTGTTTCTCTTAAATTCAAGCATTCTTTTTTATACTTCCCTTCCACTTCCATTAGTTATTTGCAATGAATGTGAAAAATAGCCACATGGGTAATGCATAGCCAAGACATATATATTGAAACCAAGAAGAGTCATCACTCATAAAGGTGTCATTAAAAAAATCCCAAACTTGAATGATTATCTATCAGAAACATACTGTAAAGCCAATTCTCATGTTGCCCAACTTTTTTTTGGATTTATAAAATTTCAAACATCTTTATAAATTGTGCGATTGAATGAAAAGATTGCAGCGAAATTTTTAGAGTAAATAATAGGAATAAATGAATTTGAACAATGATGGTGGTTTTGTGGAAAGTGTGAAGATTTACATTGTTTTATAAATGACATACTGTCTCATCGAAGACCTTTTACCTCCTCTCTTAACACGCCATCCGGAAGAACTGGTTTTTTTTGAACAAAATTTTTAAATCTGCAGATGTTTGGAAATACATTTTATGCATACATCCTACAGTTTCTTTATTGAATTATGCTGTGGCACGAATGGAGCTAAAGAAATAAATCGCTCATTCATAAACAATTCACTAAAATTTCATCACAAACTGTACGGTTAACTGAGGCTCACAACTACTTCAATAATTCATTCCATTATCGACAGTTGAATTATTTACTTCAGTTCGATTTTTTTTAAATAATTTAGCATTTCAATTCAATTTTACCCAAATTTCTAAGCATTTCAATTCAATCTAATTCATTCTAAGTCACCTGTAGCTGAGTTTTTAAAAAATTTGAGGTAAAGTTGAATGAATGCCAGACAAAAAGAATTATGAAGTTGGGCCTGTTTGCGTGTAAAATTCATTGAACAAAACGAAAAGGATTTCGGGAACATTATTTAATCCTTCATTTTCATTAATAACCAACCATTCGTCGATCAGTTTGTCTGCTCCTTGGAAATCAATACAAACTTCTGAACAGATGGAAATATGTTATCAAATAAAATACAATTTTATCAAACGGAAATCAGCATTGCTGATATTTCATCACTTAATCCTAATAAATATTTCATTGGATCTTATGAATCAATTTTTCACATTTTGTTTTGTTAAGAATCAATTCTTTTTCTAATCAGCCGTTTCTGAGATGGATAATAAGCAGGTAAAGCTTAAGGTTTGATTTTTAACTGTTTGATATTGTCACTTGCTTCTAAAAATCAGTCTATTACAGTTGAGGAGTGATTTAACACAGTTGTAAAGACAATGTATCATGAGTAAGGTCAGCAAATGTGATGTGTTGGCAAGAATGATTACAGTTGTTCAGATGCCAATGTTACCTACCCTCTTGCATTTCGAGTCTGTCAGTAATCAGAATGACATCTGCTCCTTTACTTATCTGTGAAGTTACTCTTAATTTCATAAAACTGAATCCATTTGTTGCACAGTGAATGCAATTATTACTAGTGGAAGTCCAAATGCATGCAATTGAAACAACTCAGACTTTTTCACTAAATATTCTAAGTATTCGTAATTTGGGTAATAGAAAACACTATAATTAAATTTACTGTAACAGCTTAATTAAATTGGCAGCTTTGAGATTGCTAGTGAGAAGTAATGAAGTTAACGAAAGGCATATCCCTAAAGGAGTTACTGTTGCTAGGAGAGGATGACAAATTCGAACTTTGCTTCTTGAAAAAGGAGGTGGTGTAATGTGTAAATAAAATATGACCTGATATGACGGCCCTTCTCAGTGACCTTTCCCTTCCAATCTTTTCAGGTATAACCCGAATTTAATTATAGTAGCTATTCAATTCAAACTAGTTGTTCCTCATACTGAGGTTTATCATGAAGCTTACATAAAATCTTGTGCATGATGGCTATGACAGAAACGCCGTTGCTATGCAAATTACGGCCTATGGAACCGCAAAAGAAAGACAATAAACGTGTGCAATTTATTTGAAATGATGCTCGATCGGGAAAGGAAACTGGGAGAAAATTACTGCAATTACATCCAAGCTTTTATGACTCATATTTTAAGAAAAGAGAAGAGAATTTTTGTCTTAGACTTAATCTTCCCTCATGATTCATCCATCTTCAACGAAATAATTACAAGTACATTTTATGCTATTACTCAGTATTTTCCAAAAAGTATTCAAATTTTCAATCCTACTTCATTTTGTTTTATCAAACCATAACTCATTTGGTGAGTGACATGTTATTAAAGAACGTTTGAAGGTATAGTTATGTCACAGCTGGTCCTTTTTACTCCCCAAAATGTTTCAAAATTAATTACGATTAATTTCATGCTATTATTGCAGGATTGTCAAATGTCTAGGGTAAACTATTGTACACACAACACTTCTAGCTAAAGGAACAATTCAATTTGCCCTAGGTAACCACCATCTTTTCCATAATAGCATAGCCAGGATAAAGTGTTCAACACGTCACTTCCTTGGATATTCCATTATCAAGCAAGTATAAATAAACAAATAGTCAATTTATATGAGAGTAAAAAGCATTCGAAGGGCGTTTGCATATGGTAATCCATCAAAGGGTATACGAACGGTAGGGGCGTGGTTGCCTTCCAGTCTGCGCCAGTTGCAGTCATCACCGGTCATCTATCCATGAAGCCCATCGCGGAACGGTTCTCTCTCCGGTTGACCTGATCGATTCCATTATTTACTCTTCTGCTACCTATTGCTTACTTTAGTTTTCTCCTAGTTCTTTTCCATTAAATTTGATAACCTAATTTCGCAAGCGGTTATTTAGGAAATCGAAATGCGCAACCAATATTTTCTATAGTTTATAGTGGATTTTAGTTCTTTCAGTATTATTAGTTATTTTTCCTTAGTTGATTCAACCAATTGCAACACTGTCATAAGCGTATCAAAAATAGGTTTATAAAAGGATCTTTCAATCGCCTGTTTGACAAATGTAATCTTATTTGATAAAAGGAGACTTAGATATTCAAAACTATCACATATTTCAATAACTTTTGGTGACCGAACTGCGGGGAAATTGTAAACTGGTAAATAATACAACAGATTAGTAATTTAAAATAATAAAATTTCAAAACATTACTGATTTTCATTGAAATCATTTCGTTTTTATTATTTCAGATTCGTCTCATTGTGTTATTATCATCCAAAACTGCTACTAAATTTTGATCCTTATAAACTGTTATTAAGTACCATCTAGGTACTTCAGATGAGGATGCGAAATGCATTCAACACAATGCCTAATACTGCTACTAGTAGTGATTCTGCAAGTCGGATACGATTGAGAAAGTCAAAAGCTGGTGGTGCGATGACGAAATTACCGCATCAGGTGCTTAGGAGAAATGAACGAGAAAGGAAGCGTGTCCAACAGGTTAGATTTCTTCTTTATCAATTTTTGTTTTAACACATCCACTTAACTTTTGGTCTCCTGTTTTATATATTTTAAAATAAATGCTCTCACTTCTTATTTTAAAATTTTAAAATTAATACTTTAAAATACTTGAAAAATTAATAACGGATACTTTAAAATTAATTCTTGCTTTGTTGATTAAAATGCTCTCATTTCTCATTTCATCAAATATTTATGCATTGCATGATGAATTTTCAGAGATTATAGAAAAAAAGTGAATTTAAATTTAATGAGTGAGCAAAGGTTGATTTTAAAAGTGCCAATAAAAATAAATTTATCTGTTTTTCAGGTAAATCTTGGATTCATACACCTTCGCGATCGGGTACCACATTCAGCAACCAGCAAGAAGCTGAGTAAAGTGGAAACACTCCGTGAAGCAGCCCGGTATATCAAGCACTTGCAAGATCTGCTTCAAGGTACCTGCGATAAACCATTTGAACCTTTGAATACCAACCAGGAATCACGACATTGCCACGATAGTCCATGTTTCTCGGAAGAAAATCACTATCCTCTGCAAGATCAGGCGACCGGTATCTGCCAGTTTGCTTGTAATAGTGAACCCTTTTACTATCAATCTCCTCATGCTCATGATTCTTCTCTTTATTATAAATCACCAACCTCATTTAATCCTAATAATACGGTAGTGAAACCTGAAAATGAATCTTTGAATACATCTTCTTATTCTTCATCTTCCTTAAGTTTCACCGAGATTACACGGTTTCAACGAACCGATTATGTATTGTGATAGCTGATATGTTTCCCACTTTTAAAATCGGTCAGTACATAGTAAATTTGAAATTATCAGAAATTTGTGGAATGCCATATCTTGATTTTAGGTCAACAAAAATTCTCAAAAAAAAATGAAAGACATTTATTCAAGTTGTTTTGGGCATAAGTTCAGTTATCACTAATTAACCGCTGATAAAAATAAAGTTTCCAAGACAAAAATAACTAGTCACTTCAGAATTTGTTCTTTGATAAACTGTTGAAAATATTTGTAAAAATAAGCTTACTATTTGATACGAAAGTTTTAAAAGAACATGCAATTATTAGCTTTTTGATAACTTTGCCTTCTTAATATAAATTTCAACTTTTCCTTCGCCTTATTATAATCCCTCACTCATAAATCATGCAAGTGTTTCACGTAGTTTCTACTGCTCTTCATGAATTTAAATTGATTACTGAATAAAATTTAAAAAAATAAATTTCTTCAACAAGCAAATTTTTTGAAAACATGGTTTTTTTTCTATTTTTGTACCATACCCACAAAACAAATAACTTAATTCATAGCGATCAATCCATCAGTATTGCGTCAATCTGTTATTTGAATTAAAACAGCCGGAAAATGCCGGAAATTTTTGTTAGCATTATGTATTACTATATTGCATATGGATCACGTGACCTTCAGAGGACGAAAAAATTTCTCCTCATAGTTAAACTATTAAGAAACTTTAAAAAGCTTAAATATTTAGAAGTAAGAAAAATAAACTTTTGTGGTTTTTCCAAAATTTCCATGAAAATTTAAGGAAAGCATAGCCTAAGCATTTCTCGTATGGCTTTAATGAGCTTTTTATTGCAATCATTAGCATTACTGTTTCTGGAAGAAATGAAAAACAAAAAAGTGCAAGTGAAAAACATCCATCAAATTGAATGGTATGATTTGGCAGCCCATACTATTTAACTATTTCTAGTGACATTTTCATGTTATTATCCTGTTAACTCTTTTTTCATTCCGAAGTTTGAAATTTAAAGTTCGGTGAAAAGAAATGAAGATTGAAACGATGCAATTTGATTCTTTGTGAGCAAAGAAGGACATTTTAGAATTTCGGTTTTTAAACTACAACAAATGGCACTGATAGAAAGATGTTTTGCGGGATACCCAGATGATAATACTTTGTTGAACCTCATGCCGCAAATACATGATACCTGAAAATTTCAGGGGATCAAACACGTGGAATATAAAAATTCTAATTTTATGGGGAAAATTAAAAGGTCAAAGGGTCGCTGGAATACGATGATGACACATGAATGATCAAGCAGGATTAACGAGATATTCAATCAGGAATGAGGAGAATGTATATTGATGAATGAGTCCTACATTGAATATATAGGCTGACCAAGAATGACTCATTGCTTACAAGACCGATAATGAGTAGTGAGTAATGAGTAATGCGGTACTTTCTGACAAGTCGTGGAGCTGAAAACTTCTATTTCTGTTCAGGAGATGATGGAAGAGAGGGAGAGAGAGAGAGAGAGAGAGGAAGG